TCCGCTTGACCAAAAATTACTCTTGGTCATGCTGAATGTACACAATTTGCCATTGAGAGTTGTGATGATCTGGTTGTTTTTAAAAATACCTTCTTGTAGTTCTTAAAGGGACCAGATCAAATCACTGATCTAATTGAAAAACTGTTACCGTGAATACCTGTGTTACATCTCCCTTCATAGACATTGTCTACTACTGAATGGCAGATATTGCAGCATTGGTACCATTTCTGCAGGCTTTCTAAAAACACCTGGACAATGAGACAGAAGACAGAGTGAAATGAACTTTGTTGTATTGTACACATATGATATTTGACAAAGAGCACAAGCTGTGTATGCTGGACACTTCTTTCCATAGTGAATAGAAGAGCTGATAGATTTCACAATACTTGAAAGATTTGACTAGCATTGGAACCAATGCATTTAAAACTCTTTAGAATTTTTCTCCCTATGGGCAGGAAATTATCCATCAACAATAGAGATACATGTGTGGCTGGGCATTAAATGCATTATGTTATGATCCCTACCAATCTATTATTTCTTTTTTCATACCATAATGGGATCTTGGTATTTTTGCATTTGGCTTACTCTAATATTGGCAGAATATATATGGTGTTGCTAACTTTTGCCTTACTTAATGGTAAGCTCAGAGTCAACCTGCAATAGTGCATTCTAACCACTGTGTCACCACGGCATAAATCAGCAATTTATTTTTGCTGATACACATAATAAGGTTTGCAAAGATCCAGCAACACTTTTGAATTTTGGAACAGCAGATCACTACAAGTTTTGAACAAGAATTACTGTGCATCGCAACTTCTTTGGATTCTTAATCTGAGAAATCTTGATGAGCAGGCAGAATTTATCATATAGTTCCCTGAACAATAGCTAGATGTGCTTCAGGAGGTATATGTTAATTTAAAAACGGTAAAATACAGTACAGTAGCAAGAAATGCTGTTTTCATTATGGAATAGCAAGAAATGTATCCTAGCATTCTAAGAATATAAAAGTGACTTTAAATCTTACTAAATTGAAGAAGTAGACTTATCTAATTTATTTATTTTTGTTTATGTCCAGAATTACTGTTTTTATCATTTTTGCCCCTATGTGGAGATATGCATTTAGGAAACAAATAGAGAAGAATGAAACCGAACTGTATTACTTCATTTATTCATTTGTATTATAAAATTATGTATCCTGAAAGGATGAGGAATGATTGGTATGTACATATTACATTCATCAATTTTCTCAGCTTTCTGCCACAGCAGAAGTCCACATTCTGATCCGGGCTGTGGATTGTTTATACCAGTGGTGGCGAACCTATGGCACGGGTGCCAGAGGTGGCATTCAGAGCCCTCTCTGTGGGCACGTGTGCTGTCCCCCCAGTTGTAGGCCTTCAGCTGGGTTTTATAAAACCTTTTTGCTTTAGGCCTCCGCCGCCATGTGCAAAAAAAAAGGTTCAATCAATCAGTCAATTTCAACTCGTTGTGGGGGAAAAAAAAGATCTTGCAAAGTTGGAATTGATTGAACTTTTTAGTCCCACCCAGTCTGCTGTTACCACCACAGCCACGCCCACCCAATGGGCCACACCCACCCGGCACCCGATAATGCATAAGTGGGTTTTGGGTTGCAGTTTGGGCACTCGGTCTCTAAAAGGTTCGCCATCACTGGTTTATACTTTATTCAACAAATCACTATCCAGTGAATTTTTGCAACTTATTAAGACATAACCCAGGTCTTTTTGCAAATCAAGATTTCTGGATTCACATAGCATACAGTCAAAGCTAAACAAACTATAGTATGATTTATCAGATGAGGTTCATACACTGTGCTTGATCAAGTGACTAATTTAGTCTTGGGTTAGCCACATATTGTATGAATCCACCCATAGTGGGTAATCCAACCCCATAAAAATAACTGCAACATACATTTTGTCAAGATTTTTAGTGAGGGAGAATGCCAGCTTATTCCTTCATGAAAATTGTCTAATATAAAAGCTGCACACTGCAGTAATTAGAAACCTTTCAACACTGTTGACAGAGTAATAATGATGCTTTGTCTTCGATAAAGATACTGTAGAAACACATTAAGAATGTTAATCTTTGCAGCTCTTTCTTTTCTATGTACATACAAACAAGTGGTCCATGTCTAATGTCTGAAGCTGATTATGAAGAAAGTCTTTCTTTTAAATGAACCTATTATCTAAATAGTTTGGATATAATCCAGTCAAAGTTAAGTGCTTTCAGGTTTTTATGGACCTCAGTAAGAGAGTTATGTATGTCCTTAAATCATTCCTTAAATCAGTGGAACTTGCAAAGTACTTAAATCAAACAGTTTAAAAACCTTATTTTAATAGCCTTAGAAGAATAGGAATCTTCCCATGCATTTTAGCGTAAACTTTTAAAACTAGAAGTATAAATGGCATTTTAAAATATCCAGCATGCTTGTATTCTAAAATAGTGATCTATCCTTTGAAGCTATAGCATTATTTTATATGCAAACATTCCTTGAGAATTCCCTTTCTTTAACTTTTGGTCCAGATATCCATTTGTTTTTACTTGGTTGTAAGCCAGCTAGAGTCATCTCTAGGCGAGATGGGTAACATAGAAATTTAATAAATGTGTATTGAAATTTCAAGGATATTCACACCAGTTGTATTTGCAACGTTGTGGCTGCTACAGTGTAATTGTAGTCAGCCATGGTCAGATGATTGTGATTTCCAATACTCTCTGCCAGCTTCCCATAAACAAGAGCAATGGGAAAGCCAGCAGGAAGTCACTTTTGTTCTCACTGCTTTTTTGCCTACCCGTGGTCATTTTGTTTATCTGTTTAGCTAAATTGGTTTTCTAGTATATATTTCATTAGGTTTGCATGAAATATATTGTCCTAAAAATATGACCCAGACATGTTTCAGTTTCTGAAATTAATATAACTTGTCCCTTCCAACTTTATCATTATTATTATTATTATTATAATACCTGGAAAAGTGCTTGCACAGATTCTGCTCTATTTTAAATGAAATGTTTTATCCCAAAACATGTGGGAGGGACTTTGTTGCTTCAATGTGTCCAGAGTAAAGCTTTACCCAACCTAAAGGAGTCTTATTCGACCAGTTGTATGGATTTTAGCCAATTCATGGATTGATTAACTGAATTTCCATATGAATCAAAAGGATGACACTTTATTTCATCATCTTTTAAATCCACCTAAATTGGTGACTATTTGGAGGGACCATTTACACTATCAAATCCAACTACCTACTTGGTTCAAGAATCCAAGAATCTCTAACAAATGGCTGTCTAGCTTCTGCCTTTGAAAGGTTGGCCACCATTCCTTTGGTGGGGAATTGGTTCAGCTATATAACTGTTTCTAACTATTGGATATTTTTTCTGATAATCACAATTTGTCTTTCTATAATTTAAAACTATTTTTAATCTTGAACACTGGAACAATAAGGAATAAGTAGTCCTCCTGTCCTATGTGTGCCTTCATGTCCTGCTCGATGTTAGCAAAGCATTCCTAGATTTTTCATTCTCTGTCTTCATAAGCCTTTGTTTCTAATTCTCTCATCTTCTTGTTGTCTTTCTCTGAATTATGCAGTATTCTATGCATAATTATGCTAT